CCAAGTAGTGTAATGGACAGAGTGAAACTTCGAAAAACTCCACAATGACAAAACAAAACGAAGGTATTGAGTTCCTGAGGCTGCGTCGCGTATTGAGATTGGAGACGGCCCATGTAGTAGTATTTTTTCAAAAGGGTTCGAAATGGTCCATTCAGGAACCATCTTTTACAAAGCGGTAAAGACGATTGAAATGGTGCGGCCGGTCAGAAATACACTACAGGTTCAACCAAGCTTGCATGATGGCTTTTGGCCAGAAAATAACGCGGAGGATTTTGGGCGAACGCGAGTTTTTCAGCCTTTAATGGGAATATCTTCGTTCATACATAGGACAGAGCGTGGATCTACTTGGCATTGGGAGTTGGGAGACTTTTTCTTCCGTGTAATTACCAAAGCTTTGCTGTAGCTCGATAGCGGCGAAAATTTGCCCGTCGCGGAAAACCACAAAAATAATGCCGAGATTTTTTAGCGAACGCAAGTTTTTTAACCTTTCAAAGGCCATAACTTCGTTAAAACATAACGTAGAAGTGAGATCTACATGGCGTTGAGAACTAGATGGTTTCCTTTTCCCAATGAGGGAAACAGTTCAGCTGTAGCTCAATTATAGTGAAAATTCGCCGGCGCGGACCCAATCAAAGCCGTTCTCAACCAATCAAAAGCCGTTCTCAGCTGTAGCATGAGGATTCCCTCCTAAAGAGCCCTTATTTCCATCCAAAAAGCTGGGAAGGCCTCCAGTTTTTCTGCCTGTCATTGAATAAATAGGAACTGCAGCATCGAGGCGGTGATCAACACCTCCATGGAATGCGCCATTTACTCGATTTCCTTTCCGCACACATCACCCATCCTGCAAGCTAGACAGCTGCTGTGTTCAGTACTAGTCTCCGCAAATACCCCCCCCCCTCCGGAGGAGGCCGAACATGTCCCCCTGTCGCGGATTTCGTGACGTAGGTTTGACCCTGGTCAACACTTGTCAAAGGCATAAGACACAATAATTTGGTACTTGGTTCCAAATTGTAGCAGGGGTGTATTGTGGGGAAAATGGCAAAAAAGGGATGTAAGCTGCTAAGAACCTGCAAAAAAGCATTTGTTTTGCGTGGTACTACACGTGCAGTTTATACTAGTTCCCCGTTGGCCTCCTGCCAACAACTGTTTTGATAGATCATCAGCATCGGTCGGACATTTTTTGGCGGGAGGGCGCGGTGGGCGTCCACGTCGGTATGTTGCAGCTTTGCAGGTCACCAATGGTACCTTCCCTTAAAACCGCCTTGCAGCGCTTGTGCAGGGGTGCCAAATTGTGCCCTGCAGGCGTATTAATCCTCCACGACTTATCGATTTATCGTGCCGCTTGCCTTCAACGATCCAGTCCATACTAGCCGAATGAGTAGGGAAGTGGCCGGAAAGTTCCCCATTGGCGCTCCTCTCCTTTGCCGGGAGCGCCATAGAAGTGAGCTAATCATTTGAACGTCCCCGCCCATTGAGCGGCGTGGACGTGGACTGTGTCTCCATAGCCGAAACAGTTCAACCCATGGCGCACAGTTAAACCAATGATATTATTTCACTCAGCTTGGGAGGCTTGGGAGAACCCGCAGCTGCAACGTTCCTGATCATTAATAATAGAAAATAAGGATAGGATGTGCGAGGTGCGGTCAAGAGATCCTTGTTGCCACGAGGGGCAGAAAACAGCATGCAAGCCACTGCGTACGCTTCGGTTTCATCCCATTAGCGCGCGAGTTCGCAACGCTGCTTCCTGGAATGTCGTCGTGCTGACCCCACCAGGGAAGGCGGAGTTAAAAACCGAACCAGCAAATAGGACCAAGCCATTGTGGTCCCTGACACTTTAACAATTCATGCCCCATATGTCATATGGAATGAACTTACTAAGAAACCTGCAATAATCGTTTTCATTTTCAGGACTATTCCGATCGTGCCTGGAATGCGATGTTCAACGAAAATGACCGTTCCGTTGAAGAACCCTATCGAAAGAAACGACAAGACTATATGATGTCATCGGGCAGTTTTGACGAGGTCGAGAAAAGCGTCCTTGCCACATTCATGTGCCCAGTTGGACCACCCGGACCTCGAGGAAGACCTGGACTACCAGGAGAAGCTGGTCCACCAGGTGAAGATGGGAAACCAGGTCCTAACGGCAAATCAATTACTTCATTCTCTCCTCGCGGATGCATTGTGTGCCCTATGGGTCCGATTGGACCGCCTGGGCCCGAGGGACCAAGAGGCGCTCCAGGTCGAAACGGATGGATTGGAAATGAAGGTAGAGCTGGACGCCATGGCGAAATGGGTCCCATGGGCCCGCCAGGAGACAAAGGAGAAGAGGGTCCACGTGGCGAGCCTGGATACCCAGGAGTTTCTGGGCGGCTTGGATTCCGCGGGAAAGGATTGCCTGGTCCACAAGGACCACCGGGAACGCCCGGTGATGCTGGAGCGAATGGACCGCACGGAGTTCACGGAGAACCAGGACAACGGGGACCACCAGGAGAACCCGGTGCGATCGGAAATCCAGGAGAACAAGGTGTTGACGGCAGACAAGGATCGCCAGGAATTCGAGGACAACCAGGCGAAGACGCGGCATACTGTAGCTGTCCTGCAAGATCGCATTTGCTTGTCGATGTAGAATAAATGTAATAAAACACACATATACGACGATATAATATAGATGTATAGAAAGAATAAACATTTGAACACCCAGGGTTGCACAATTCCCATCGAAATGAAGCATGACTTCTACTCCATTAAGGGTCGTAGTACTTTAGAATGCATGATTGGCTGTAGAATAACTTCCAGGGCCAGTCGGGGTGCAGGCCAGCGTTTCAAGCACTTTCGGCTCACAATCAGAGGGGAGAGGGAGTTTCGCGCCTGCGCTATTTCTGTTTGCCTTCATGTTAACTAACGGTACAAGTGAACCGCTGTAGTTACAGGAATTGACATCTCCTCGCAAGATGGCCCCTTTGGTGCCCCTACAAAGCCGCGTTTCCGCACTATTCCTACTCTTGAAGGCGGAGGACACAAAAAAATAGCTGTGTTCATGGATCGTAGCTTCTAGTTGAAAAAAAATCCAGCCGAACACGCAGCGGACGGCTCGATTCCACATCGTCTGAGCAGGCGAAGCGTGAAATAGTCCACCACGGGACCTATTGAAGTGAGAGGATCGTATTTGATCCGTGGAGGGAGGAGGTCTTATTTGCTTCTGAGAAAATGTTTCCGATTGTTGACTATTTTTTCCCCTCTCACTGGCGTTACATCCCTCCACCCCCCTCTCAACGGTAGATGTTTGGGGAAAAACTGGAGGATTTCGTTGGAAAAGGGGTAGGATGTTGAGAAGAATTTAGGAAGATGTTGTTGAGGGTTGGAGATGGAGAAGGAGACTCGTATCGAAGGAAAAAGAGGGGGGGGGGGAGTTTAGCAAATTTTTTCCGCAGAGGCAGAAGGTGCCCTGCTGTCAAAAGCACCCGCCTCCTATGAAAGACCGCCACCAAGCATCAGTATCAGATAGTTTCACACTTCTGTCGTTTCATTTAAGAATTTGATCTGAATGGGGCCTTTGCTTGTTGTACGCATATGCCGGAACAATTGTTGGCATGATGCCCACTGAAAACTCTTGCAAACCATTCTGTGTTCGCCGCATAATACTCGTCCGCTGCCTTAAAGACACTCCCCGCGATCAAGTGGTCCTCAAAATGACTCCGTGCCTTTTGAACTGTTATACGCGTTCACAAAGAACATACCACTTTCGTCCCTCAAAACGGCGCGATAAAGAAGTTAGAGACATTTGCGCGTGGCAACAGTGGCGACATCATACTGCAGCTGGACGAGACAACGGCAAACGAGCAGCTTGTCTTCCTACAACACCCGCGCGGCACGTGTCGCGCGCGGCGCTTCTGGCACTTTGCCATCTTCGGTGATCCGCGCTTTCCATAGCGATTAAGCGCAAACCTCGCACCGTTGGACATAAATTGAGGACGGCTTAGGCTGTTTAAGGGTTCCATAGTCTTTGCAAGCGCAGTTCTAATTAGGAGGATGTGAACAAAAGAGCAGCAAGCCTTTCTTGAGTTTCATACTCTGCAAGCGATGGGAAGGACGTGAACTGAAGAGCAGGTAGTTCGGTGCTAACGTATTTGGGGGGGACACGCGGCTCGCGGCGAGTGATGACTCATCGACTCTTCTGCTTCCTCCTCGGCAAAATAGAAGTAACCTCATGTTTAAGACATGGATATAACACCGTCCTAGCTATATTTGAAAGCTTAAGCAGTTAACGCTGAAACAGGGCACGCCATTGCGTTGTGATCATTTCCTGAAAAATACGACCCCCCTAATTCCATCTTCAAGTACGACCCCCCTCCCCATGTTACCTCTTCCCTAGATTTTTCCAACCTCCTACCACTTTGTCTATTTTTTCCCAAAAAATTTCTGGTTTTTTTACAAAATTTTGCTGTCGAGCGGGGGGGGGGGGGTCGCAGTACCTACGTACGTCCCAAGCACGTCCAGACGTCCAGCACTCTGGCGCTGGTGTAGCATACTGACAATACGTACGAGGAAGGGATGATAGGAGCTACGATCACCGCCCACAAGGGCACCATGAATTTATAAACAAACAAAAGGACTCACGACGTGACGATTAATAAACAGATGAAAGTACATTCCCGGACTTTTCTGATCAGGAGCACATTTGCTTGCAATTGGGAAGCCCTATCTAGAAGTTACACCTTTCCAAACACCTGCGTGAAAGCCCCATGCATGGCGCATTGCAGAGGTGATGCCAATTGGCGCCCAATGGCCTATTTCCTAATACCCTTTGCGGAAACATGTGTTTCAGAAGCATACCAAAGTCTTCAAGCCAACTGGAGGTTTCCTGGCCTCGGAGGGGTTTTTCGTGTCGTGGGGGGTGAGCCACGAAATGGGAATTTTTTTCGAATAGCAGGCCTAGGAAGAAAATTAAAGCCCTTGCTGGAAAGTAGAAATCTTCAAGCTTCCGGCACAATTCTTTTTTTACGAAAGGCCGTGTATGAAGCTTGCCATGGACGTCCAAAGCGTAGCGACTCGCGGTTCGCAAAAATGATCACAGACGGATCACAACGATGATCACAACGGGGAAAATCTCTGGAATCGGAACGTTTTTGAAATCGCTCAATTCAGGTGACAAGAGCCAACCTAGCTCTACTCATTCCCACTTACCCCTCTCCGATAGCTTCACTTTCAACGAAGTTATGGGTGTTCAAATGAGGGGTACTTTTCACGTGTTTGGCTTGAAATTGGCTCCAGGCCGTAAAATAGCGCGCACCAATGAGCTTGTATGAGCGCGCTGACCGCGAACAGCCAAAATTCAAAAGTAATCCATAGTTCCGGTTCCCAGCTGGCCTGGTGAGTTTTTTTTCTTATCCATTTGATTGTGAATTATTTTGATTGTTTGTTTTGTTGAGTTTGATTTTGTTTTGTTGAATTTGATTTTGTTGTGAGGAAATTGCTCAGGATTCAATTTCTACGGTTTCATAGGTAGCTTTTGCAATGGATTCTTTTCTAGATTTTGCGGATTAGTGGATTGGGATTTATCTAGACCAGATGAGGAGGGTTGGTGGGCGAAGTGTCTTGAAGTTTTTTGTGAGGAAGGAGGAAAAAGTTTCAGCAATATTTTTTTTAGTTCTTGGCCTAGGAATAGTTGATAGTGCCTAGTTCTATTTATTGTCATCTACATCGTCCCTTTTGAGCTTCTTTTCACTTGTACCGTGTATCACCGCTCTCTCCACTTCAACATGGGCCATGCGTTTACGACCCCCCTCCATCGCGGGCAAATACGACCCCCCCCCGTTGTGATGATCACAAAGATGGCGTGCCCTGCTGAAAAGTGCGAAGAAACAGTTGTAGGATGGAAGATTTGCCTAAACTACCAACGATTGTTGCCTTTTTGATGTTGACCGTTATTCTTGACTACAAAAGATCAAACATTTGTTGTTCTCAGCTTCTGTGGGATTTCTCAGCAAGTATTCGGTGAATCTTGTTTGTTTATTCTAATTTTGCTGCTAGATTAGCGCTCTAACTATAAGTTACACTCCTCTTCATTACGGACTGTCGGGGCGTATCGGCCAGAAGGAGTGCGCACACTGTTTGAAGCCGTTCTCAGCCTTTTCTTTGAAGCGCGTATGCGACAAAAAGTGGTAGAAAACGAGTAATACGAAGGATATAATGCTGTTATGTCATTTGATCGCTTCAACAACTGGTGCAGAAAGACTTTGGAACCGCGGAAAACGCAGCCGCACTGACCCGCCCCGACAGTCCGTAATGATGAGGAGTATATGTCAATGAGTAAAGAGTCGATGAGTTCATCAACTCGCCGCCGAGCCCGCGTGTCCCCCTGCCCCCCCCCTCCCCGCGTCCCCCCCCCCCCCCAAATACGTTAGTTCGTCTTCCATACTCATCGCAAGAGGAAGATAAGAAATGAAGAGCAGTTAGTGTGTTTCTCAGACTCACCTAATGATCTTTTAGATGGGGCACTATTCAATTGTTACTACCCCAATCTTCCGACATCAGACCAGTTTTACTACCGAGCTTTTTAAAAAGGCTAAAAATTTTGTATGCAGACCTTCAACCTCCAAACACGAATATCGCATCGCTTGGCCAGGAATTGCCTGGCGCTCACGCCACGGTCCCACGGCTCAAGCTTTGCGCTCCAATCGCTATGGAGAGCGCGTCCTTCACGCCCGACACACTCGTCCAAGACTGCAGCCCCACCATCATTTTAGAAGGAATACCGAAGTAAGGCGCCCTGTGTCTTTACATATGTCTTGACAGCGCTATATATCACCTAGTCCATACGGTTTGGCCCACTAGACCGTTTGAAAAAACCAAGCCCTAGATTTGTCTAACGTTTTGCACACGAAATCTTTGAACGAAATGCGCTACTTTTGCACAAAATCGTGGCGACATATGAGAGCACATTTAGAGAATACGGCGGAGGTGGCATCAGGGTACAGCATCGTTGTGTGAAACACATAGGGGGGTCGTACTTTTTCTCTGGGAGGGGGGTCGTATTTGGTCGTTGGGAGAGAGGGGGTCGTATGTGCCTTTGAGAGAAATTTGTCGCGTTGGTTTTCCGGTTGTTGACTTTTTGCGTGATTTTTCCTGTTTCATGTGCACTATAT